GCATTGATCCAAGTGAAGAGTTTTTTTTTGTTCATACTATAGATTCTCAAGCTATTCATGTCTTAACTACATATCCAACACAATATCTCTCGTTTAGGAGAGTCATAATTATAGTTATAATTATAGTGATATGTCTCTCTCTTTTCTTTTTGACGCTAATGATCTAATTAGAAAGTCAAATTACAAAAATGAATTCTACAAAAATCAAAATAGGATATGTTTTGGTGAAGAGAGAGAGTATTCAAAAGTTTATCATCGTATCATTCCTTCTCATATACGGAGTAATTCAAAATATCAAAACTTAAGTGTGAGTCCCGAATATATGAAAAATATCGTGTGCCTCCAGTCAAAAACAAAAATATATATAACCTAAAAGAAATAAAAACTTTTTAAATATATAGAATATAAAAGTAAAATATCATATGTATATTAAGTTATGATATACTTTGTATTTCTTATTATAATTTTCTACTTTTAAACTATCAAAGTAAGTTGTTTTACAGAGTTTTCATTTGAGAATTTGTTTGATATAAAATCCACCTATTTTTCATCATTTTAAATTGAGTTTATGGTGTGTTTGAGAGCATGGATTTGGATTTCAAATCTAGATTTTGCTCAAATTTCATGTTTGAGAAACTTAAAAATTTTAGATTTGGATTTGAGTCAAAATCCTCTCATTCATAACAAAACTTAATTTGAAACATGCACCTCCCCTTTCCATTTGAAATTTAAGATTTCAAATTTTGGAATTGAAATGAAATACTAGTTCCCAAACACTAGCTTAAGAAATATAATTGAGGGCGCTGCCCACGAACCCGTGCCCTACCTACGGTCATATTTATTCTTGAATCCACTACTGATAATTACTACGTATATTATTTTATTAAATGATCAATATAACTATCTAAAATCGAGGGTACACTGTTTTGTAAAAAATCTTTTAGTCTAGCAGCACGGTGGTGACTATCACACACGAAAGATTGCATGTTTTGCCGTGTGGGACGCAGATTAAAAATTTAAAATTGTATTGCGTACTTGGGCTTGAATGAGCAAATCTTTTATTGGGCTTAATTTAGCAAATTTTTGTCTTCATTTAATCGTTTAGCTTAGGGCTGGGGGCAATGGTATATTTTGACAATTTGAATGGGGGCAGCTTTTATAACAGTTTTAAAAAATAAAAAAATTTACATTGTACTATGTAACTTGGGAGTGCAATTGAAGAGGGTAGAGGATGTGTTCAGGTCAGGGTGGGGTGGGAGAGTTTACCGGGGGTAGGAATCGTCAAGTTTACAAACAGGACACCGGAACACCCAGGGTCATCCCATTACGTTGATTCCCAATGTCATGGGACATGCCCGTATTAATATAATTATGTAAGTAAAGTTTCTGTGTTGGAATTTGGAAAAAGGTACGAATTTTACCACAAATATGAATTCATACACTTCAAGAGATATTCCTCCATCCATTGTTGTCAATAGAACCAACAGTCATTGATAGCAATATTATACGGAGTAGTTTCATGCACATGAAAACTGCATATGAAGTTTCCCTTGTTTCTTGCTCTCTATGAAGTTTTGGGAAGTAAATGCTACGAAAAAGTCGAAAACAACCTCTTACTTTATACATGTGTAAGACCGCACGACACTCAAGCGGTTGGGATTATACTAGGTTGTTGTACACTATAAGAGAAACATCATCAGTTTAAGGCGCACCTTATGGTGTTGTATATGGCAATTTAAGGGTTGATTTTACTCACTGCATCTAAACTATGATATGAACAACGATCTTCGCACGCAATGATCAAACGGAGAATAACCATTTGAATTTTTTCGAGCAGGGAAACGTGTTAAGCCTGACCATCTGCTGGTTCCCTTTGGTGAATGGGTGGTGATGTGCCTGAATTGGCATGATATTGCCCATAAAGGGCATAAATGCCAGTGGCAATAATGCTGAGGACAACGAATCTCATCCAGGCCTCGTAGTGCAGCTGTGGAAGAAAAAGAAACAGTAAAATGGATGAGAAAAACCGAGTTTCATTACATCGAGACATTCTATTTTTCAACTGCACATTTTTTACATGGCATACAAAGCCAGCTGAACCGAAGTCGTGTGTTACAAATTACTCTAACACTATGTTTGGTTCAAGGAATTTGAGACGGAAAGGAAAAGAAAATGAGAAGGATAACATCTTTCTTGTTTGGTTAGAGAGGAAAAGAAAAGAAAAGTGGAAGGAAAAGAAAAAGAGAAGGCAAAATGTACAAAGAGGAAGGAAAACCAAATTCCTCTCATTTTGGTGAGGAAAAGGAGGGAAAACCATTTTCTTTTCTTTTCTTACCAAATTCCTTGAACCAAACATAGTGTAAGGGTATCTTTGGATCCCGGCAAATGCAATGGGAAGGGGGGAAAATTGATGGTGAGGAAAATTGGTGTATTTACTTATTTCACTTGATAAACTCATAAGGAAATGAAATATCATTGTTCGTTTTTTTTTTACATTTTAGTTTTCTTACTCCTTCCGACCTGAACTGAGATTTTTTCATCTTTGACATACTTCGGCAAAAGTCAAAAATTTGTGCTTTTATGAGAGTTTTTTTTACAAAGAACACTTTAAAATTATTTTCATAAAAAAATGTTAGTAGTCGCTAGAAAGGTCTAAGATGAAAAATTCCAGCACGGCAGAGGGACAGCAATGAAGAAGCAAAGGTTGGTTCCATGTGAAGAAAAGTAAAACCTGGGCAAAAAGAAAGATATTGAAGAAGATGCAGAGAGCTGGTAGGATTGGAACTCCAGGACAAGAAAACCCAGGCGGATCATCATAAACCTGCAAAAAAAAAGATTAAATAAAAGAAACTGCTATGTATTATATACCTATAAGTAGTTTTCAAGCAATTTAAGGGTATAGTGTTAATGGAAATTACATGTCGGAAATGAAGAGCAACGGCTGCAAGCATCGCAATGGCAGCAGATGCAATCAGGAAAATAAAAGAAGCCCCAAAACGGTAAAGGGCTCCAGCAGCAAACCCACAACAGGCAACTAAAACCAGGCAGATGACACCTTCTCCTCTCAGGGAAATGGATCTGGTAGAGACCTTATTCCCATTCTTAGCCTTCCATCGGAGGGTTACAGCACAAGCTGCAACAACAGAATAACCTGTCTGCAACAGTCCAAGGAAATATCATTAATTCATTCTTTAAATTTTAGTTGCATGTTGCTTCTCAAGTATCAATAATGGACAAAATCAAAATGGCACTTCCCTTGCTTCTTATTTTCAATGAAGTTTTGGACAATGAATGCATCAAGGGTCTAATGGGAACAGCCTCTTTGTTTTTCAGGGGCATCTTGACCCTCACCCAGATGCAGTTGGGATTATAGTGGGTATGTTGTTGATGCATTCTTTAATTTTTAAAAAGAGTTTTTGAGTAACATGTTGAGCTCAAGATTGTCTTTATCTTGGGTTGTTTGCCATTGCTTTTATGCATCACTGGTTCTGAAAAGCTCCACAGCAGAACAGCATTTCTAAAAAAACTCGAGCTTCTGCAGAACGTCATGTGATTAAGTACATTGCAGTGGAAATAAGTTGGAATCACTTTTTTGCAAACGGCAGAAGCCGAAAGGTGGGATGAAAAGCAATGGCAAACACCTCCTTTCACCCAAATTTTCTTTCCTTGCAATTTTGCGCTCTATTTTCTTTCCTGTGTTCCAAACAAGCCCTAAGAAAGTGGTGAAAAGAAACAAACAGAACATACCAAGGTGCCGACTGAAAGAATGTGTGAGAGCAAGTGGACATTGAAGATGCCAGCCAAGATGAGGGCGATAATCCCAACCCAGACTTGAGAATAAACAGGAGTATGCCGAGTCAGATGTACACGAGCAAATACTGCAGGCAATAAACCATCCCTTCCTAGGCCAAGATACAGTCTCGACTACACATCAAGTATAGCATCACAATTACTTTCTACCTAATTGCAAGAAATAAGATGGAAGGAAGAAAATATGTTTTACTACCTGAACATAAAGTCCGACCAGAAGAGTAGTGGTGAGTCCAGCAATAGCACCGATGCTGATTAACACTGACACAAATGTCAAGCCCTTGGACTTGAAAGCATGTGCTAATGGAGCTTCTTCTCCAAGCAATTGATATGGAACCATTCCAGTGATCACTAAGCACACACCAATGTATAATGCTATACAGACCAACAGACTCCCGATTATGCCTAAGGGTAGGTCTCTCTAGAACACATTGGACGAAGAAAGAACCATTTTTACTAAGATGCATATAATCGAGCCATTGATTTTCCAGTGTGTATCAAATTCATTAGCTACCATGTCCTCTTACCTGAGGTCTCTTAGATTCTTCTGCAGAATTAGCAACGGCATCAAATCCAATATATGCAAAGAATACCACAGTGGCCCCAGTCAATATTGCTTTGAAACCATGTGGAGCAAAAGGGGTCCAATTTGAAGCATCAACCTTAAATGCCCCCGCAATGATAACAACAATAACGATGACTATCTGCAAAATACCCATCACTTTTCAAATACTTCCCGTCTACTTCAGTTAAACTACAATCTATAGGTTTTTACCATAAATGAAAATAACACTCCCGTTTCTTTTTCTTTACTAAAATTGTATTTTCAATTGCCTTTATATGTCATATGAAGGGAGGGGTGGAAAGAAGAAGAATGAGATACTCACCTTTGTCACAGTCACCACAGCGTTGAATATAGAGGATTCTCCAACGCCCCGACATAAGACTGCTGTCAAGATAATGAGTAGAAATGGAGCTAATAGGTTAAAAGAAAACACTCCAAGATACACTTGGGTGCCATGCCCAACCCAGCTTGGGATGTTATCCTTGAAGACAGAAATAAGCTCTAGTGCATTAATTGTATAGCTCGCTAAACTGCGTGCTATGCTAGCCGCACCAATGTGATAGTCAAGCATCAACTGTGTAAAAACTAGAAAAGCTGTAAGCTCATTAAAAGCTGTATATGTATATAAATAAGCTCCACCAACAACTGCAGGAAACCGTGAGGCTAGCTCAGCATAACAAAATGCATTGAGAACACAGGAGATTCCTGCAATCACGAAACTGATTGTGACTCCTGCATTTAAACAATGAAACCTTTTTTTGAGGATTATGAATGAAACAATTCATTTACTAAATGGTGATGTAAAAATGGTAAATACACAAACAAAATAATTAAGTTTAAACAGAGTACTTTTTGTGGGATTCTTATAAGTTGTGGTTGTAGATTTATTTCACACAAAACTGAATATCTCACCCCTTGTAACAAGTGTCCTGTGTCACCCTTGAGGGGAGTAAGAGTAACCTAATTCAAAATTCTACCAGCCTGAATGTCTGATCTTTGCTCTTGCTTAATGAAACTTAATGCTTAAAATCAGAAGCTCTAGAAGCAAAACAAGCATGAAATCGGAGGTCCGACGGGAACTCACCCGGACCAGCTTCGTGGGCGACTGTACCGGTGACGACGAAGATTCCGGCTCCAATAGAGGCCCCAATGCCGATAAGGAGGAGATCGAACAGGTTGAGACGGCGGACGAGTCCATCGCCCGTCCGGAGGGAGTCGGCGGACGGAGGAGCTAGATCCTTGGAGCGGCGAGCGGCGGTGCAAAAGCGAGAAAAGCACGACGGCGGCGAAGATGGAAAATCATCTAGGCGCCTCGGCTCTCCCATTTTTCCAGCGACTATCGTTTTCTAATCAGACGGTTTGACGCCAATGGCGCGATCGAATTTTAAGGTGATACATAAATGCTTGCCAGTGTAAAAGTTGATGATGGATCCAGCCTCCAGGGCCTTTCCGAAAAAGTAAAATTGACAAAATTTACAATATTATCTTAAAATTACTACTCCCTCCGTCCCTAAATAAAATTCCCTTTTTGACTTTTTTGAGGATTTAAAAGAGAGATATTTTTGTATTGACTTTCCAAAAATACCCTTGATGCGATGTGTAAAAGTAAGATGTGATACGTAGATTATTACTCCGTAGTAAAAAGGTATGATGTGATAGGTAAGGTATGAAAAAGTAAGGGGTAAAATGGGTTTTTTAAAGGAAAAGAGAAGTTTATTTGGGGACAAAGAAAAAACGAAAGAGAAAGTTTATTTAGGGACGGAAGGAGTATTGAATTTGATTTTTAACAACTGGAGTATTTTTTATACTCCGTAAATATTTAAATGTTTGAGTTAACTACTTTTAATTTTATACATACATTCAAATAAATTGAATTGAAAATAAAAACATTCAAATTTCTTTGATATCTATACTTTGTTGATTTATGCAACATGAATATTTTTTTAAGGTAAGTGTTGGATATAATATGCAACACGAAATTTTTCAACCATTTAATATATTAAAATATGATATTTCAAAGTTATATTCTAAATTGAATATTTTGACTTCAAATTTGGAGATAGCTAAGTAGTGGATTCTACTCTCTCTCCACTTTGATTTTTTTCAATTTGACTTTCATAGTCATTATTTTTTAACCTTGATTACAAATTATAGAGAATACATTTTACTTGTGATATAAATTTGATAGATATTGGGTCCATGATATGGACCCAGAAAGGCCCAAATATGCTATCTAGAGTCCAACGGGGTAAAGCCCAAAGCTGGAGCGTGAGGGTGGACCAAATCCAAAAATTGAACGAGGAAATGTGCCAAGCCCAGTCGTGAAGACAAGATTGGTCACCAAGTAAAGGGAGACCGTAATCCCCTAGATCATGGGATTGAGGAGTGATTGACGATTGATTCTTCGCCCACAATTGATGTGATTGACACATGATAGCCAATCAACCCAATAATATAGCACATGAATTACATACCACATAGGTAGTAGTGATAAGCTATAAATAGGAAGCAAATCTTTCATTGCAACCCAACCTGAATCAAGCTAATACAAACATACGAGTGTTTTATTCTAATCTATATCGTTATTATTTACATACAAGTTCTTCGCAGCACCATAGTTCTTGGGCTAAGTCCTATCAAAATTTAATATCAATAAATTTATTTTAAAGTATATTTTTGACATATTATAATTTTTATATGTACTTCAGTATATATCTATTTATAAATAAAAATATTAAATGTCAAATTAATACATTTATCCAAAGTCAAATGTGGAAAATCAAATGGACGGATTAAATCGCAAGTATGGAAATCAAGAATGAACAAAGAAATACTTTGGGGTACTTTGCCCAACATTCTTGATTTTTTTAAGTAAAAAAATTCTTAAAAAGGAACACTAATCCACAGAGTTCAAAATAAAATGAGACGATCATAAAGCTAAGAGACACACATAGAGAGAGATTGGAAGTATACAGACTTTTTAATAAGAACCCAAACAAAATAAAATGAGACGATTGATACTGTCATAAAGATAAGAGACACACAGAGAGAGATTGGAAGTATACAGACTTTTAAATAAGAACCCAAAAACAGATTAGAAATTTGACATCACTGTATGGTATCAAATCTCCAATCATTCCAATCTCTCCAATTAAGACACAATAATTTTTTTGGAATGATTGAAGATTTGACATCATTGTATGTATAGTATCAGATTACTTAGGAATCAAATCAATCAATATCGGCCTCATTCGTTGTGTCTTTCTCCAACGAAACATACAAATAAATAAAAGTTCACATAATTTTTGAATAGTGAAGTGTGTAAATAATTTCAGAACAGAGGGAATATTATTTAGGTTTAAGGTAGTATTTATAAATGGTAACATAAATTAGTGATTGATTTTGGGTTTTCTTATACACATAAATGGTAACATAACAATAAATAATATGTATGTCGTAATGGTATTGATAATAATAATTATAAATGTAAGTAAATAATATTATGACCACGTAAAGGATGATACTATTATTTGTATATACTCCCTTCGTCCCCAATTTGATTTCAAATTAGGGTTTATGAAGAGAAATATTTTACTTTTTGAAATCATTTTATTTACAAATCAGTATGTCGATAAAAAATAAAAATTACATATTAAAAAATTACGTCAAAAGTTATATAAAATAACAGGTTACAAGAATATTTATTCATCAAATAATTAATAAAATCGTGAAACAAACAAAAGTTATCGAGAGGAGAAAAAAAATTGTAATTTAATTGGAGACGGATGTAGTAAAATAAATAAATTAAAAACTTATTTTTGTATAAATAGTATTTTTGTATAAATAGTATAAATAATATTAACTATGTTTAAGGTAGTATTTATAAAGAAATATTTGTACTAAATAGCACTAAAACTTAAGTCATTTTCCTAAATAACATTTAAACTGTTTTATTCCCTAAATAGCTCTTAATAATGTCTAAAATGTCCAGTAATGACAAACATTTACTTGAATAATGACTGACGGATAATGACTAAGAGTGCTACATTGAAAAAAACACATGTGATGCTATTTAGAAAATGTCATTATGTTTTAGTGTTATTTTAGTAAATTCCTCATTTATAAATAGTATTATAAATCAATGATTGATTTTGGGCATAAATATATGCATGTAAATGGTAATATAATAATAAATAATGTGTATATGGTAATAATAATAATACCCAATAGTAGTAATAATAATAATAATAATAATAATAAGAACAACAACAACAATACTAATAATGATAATAATAAATACAGCCCTGCAACGCAAGAGTGTAAAACTAGTACTCCGTATCATTTAAAACAAATTCTAATCTAATCATGAGACATTTGGTTTGATTCCATTCCTATGCACCCCCCCTACTCCTAAAGTCCTAATCCTATGTGAACTTGAAATTTGAAAAAGAGCACTTACTATATACGTAGTATGACTCAAGATCTAGCGTTGGGTTAGACGTTGAGTTGTGCTTTCTTTCACTCGTGATTATTTTCAATAGGCTTTAGACCCATCCCTTTTGCAGTTTTGTACACCATGTCTCTTGGCATTGCCTTAGTAAAGGGATCTGCCAAGTTAACGGTGGATCGTACAAAATCAATCACAATAACTCCAGAAGTTATCAATCCACGCACATATATGTGTCTCACTCCTATGTGTCTCGACTTTCCATCGTATACAAGTCAAGGCAAGAAAGGGTTAGTTTGGAAGCATCAAAATTGACTGATGATGGTTTACCAACAACTATCAATAGCATTTATCCATTTGAAAATAAGAGTTAGTTTTCCAAATTCATTGGTTTTCATAAATGGCACTGTGACAAACTACTTAGAGAAATGCCAATAGTGCATGTGCTGTGTCCCTATTGGAGAGTAAGATTCTTTACCTTGGTCGTCTCAGCAAGTGTAAGCACAGTAAGTTGCTTCAACTTCAGAATCTGGCCAGGCACTAATTGAGGAAGATTTCCAATAGAACCTGGAAATCATTTTATAACTCAAAACCAAAAAATCCCTAAAAGTAATTTCAGAAATAGCATCGTTTGTTTGTTTCAGCATGTCTCTGCCAGTTGCAAGATTAGCATTTCAATGCAAAAACCACCCTAGGCTTCAATAATAACAATAACAATAACAATAACAATGACAATAATAATAATAGTAATAATAATAATACTCTGCGCAAAGAATACCGTGGAGCTGCTAGACTCCTCTGTATCAATATAGACGTCTCTAAATACCTTGAAGAGATAATATATGTTGACATAATAGGAGTGGAGTTGAAAGTTAAGGTCGTGTGTGTGAAAAATGTCCCAGAAAGTGCTAAAGAAAGTGCAGAATATGGAATGTCTGGCTGTTATTGAACCTTTAATATCAGATAAACACATTCAAAAGTACTCAACGAAACTGGTTTTTTTGAATTATATGGGCAATGTTAACAACAAAATTTGGGCATTTTGGAATGATAGTACTCTGGACCTCATTAATAGACCGATGGAAGAACAAGTCCTTACTTTGCAGTTCAAAAGAACTATAGATAATGATCTTGTAACCATTTCCGTTGTGTTATGGTAAACACACTACTAAGGAAAGAGAGACTCTCTGGCAGAATCTGAAGGACCACAGACCTCCCACTGGAATGTGGGTGGTGTGAGGAGATTTTAACACAATTGCATCTCTTCAAATTCACTAATTTTTGGGTGGGACACAAAGACTTTGAAATGGTAGTCAAAAATAGCTGGAAGGATCACCATTCAGCAGGAGGGATGTCTGGAATGGCCAATAAACTTAAGAAACTAAAGACACATTTAAAAGAATGGAGCATAATTACTTCGGGTGACATTCATACCAAGTGTCAAGCAAGCTGAACTTAAAAGCTATTTTGGCACAACAAGATTTTGAAAGGGACCCTACTGAGAGCAAACAAACTATCAATAGCTTGGCAGAAGCTGAACTACTACAAGCTACCAGTAGAGAGGCAGAATTTTTGCATAAAAAAATCCACAATTACCTGGCTAAAACATGGGGATGCTAGTACTAGGTTCTTCCACTCTTATGTCAAGAGTACAAGAGCTAAATTGAAGATCACAAATATGAAGGATAAAGATGGTATTCTGAAAAGCAACATGGAAGATATTGCTAAAATGGCAGTAGAACATTTCACAAACTTACTTAATGAAGAGCATTGACAACATATGGGAACCTATCATCAATCATATCCCCAATCTGGTGATAATGAGATGATGGTTGCACTGCCTTCATTGACTGAAACCAAAGAGGCTGTTTGGAGTTTAAATGATGCAGCAGCCCCCACTGGACCAGATGGCTACAATGGTGAATTCTTCAAGGCAAGCTGGGATATCATTAAAGATGACATGTTGAGTGCGTCACAAGAATTCTTTCTAGGGATTAAAGTACTTCAAGCATATGGGATTACATTTGTAACTTTAATCCCAAAAAAAAGGGAAGACCCATTGATGATCAAATCCTATTGACTAAAGAAATGGCTCATGAACTGAAGGGAGATGTAAGAGGTGGCAATATCATAATAAAAATTGATACGGCTAAAGCTTTTTTTATAAGATTAGCTAGAGATATGTTAAGGAGGTGATGGACAGATTTGGATTCAACTCCAAAGCCATTCATCTGCTTTTTTGCTAATTTAGAGGCAACTAAATTGTCCCTACTTATTGATGGAAAACCTGAAGGTTTTTTCAACATTAGTAGGTTTTTTACTTTTCATAATAGGCAGTGAAGAGTTTAGCGGAAAATTGAAGGCAGAAGTACAATCTCGTCATATTTCTAGTTTTTATGCTGGCAGAGTCCGTACTGTGTCACACCTTGCATATGCTGCTGACCTATCCTAGTTATATTTACTAATGGTGATGTGAGAAACTTAGTGAGAGTGAGAATTGAGAAACTTACTTAAGGAATATCTTGATGCCTCAGATGATTAATTTTGATAAAAGCAAGTTCAGTTAGCAAATTGGTATTGCTACAAGTTAATGTATCTTCTGCTTAAAGAAGTTGATAATGGTTGAGGCATAATATTTTACACAAGACTCCAGATTGATTAGATTATAATCCAGAATATAGAATACCCTACTCCCAAATACAACACTTGGTGTTAAGGCACAATTATGATTTACTAACTCAGGCATCAATTGGTCGAATTCACTAGGAATCACAGTAGATAAACTTGTCAAGATGAACACTCAAACAATTAGACACTTCATATCATATGCAAGTAGAAACTAAGGATCTTCAGAGAAAATATTTTGACAGAATTTCAAAAACCCGAACTTAGACAGTGGAAGGATTTACCTTGGAAGGGGTTCCCGCCAGAAAATGTGAATCAAGATTAATAAATTCAAATCTTGAAATAGAGGGTTGGTTTTTCATATATGAAGAACAAAACCCTAACAGAGATGAAAAAATATGTCTTGTATATTGATGAGATGAAAAATGATTCTTACAACTTGTCAAAACACGGAACTATACATTGAACTATACACCCAAGCTGGAAGAATTAACCTTTTCAATTTTTCAGTAAGCTCGGAGTTAGGAAATGTTATTCTTCTTAGTGACGGGCAACAGGGCAAGAGAATACAATATGTTCAACTACACCGGCATCAACAAAGGTACACTTCCACAACTTGATTACACACAACTTTTTACACTTATTCGCCACTTCCTCTACACCGCTTCCTGTGACTCCATTATAGCCATCAAGAACCAATTTTAGGAGCCCAGAACATCTGGTCCCCATCGTTGAAAGGCCGTTGTCGTTAAACCCTGACCTAGCCGCGCTTAGGACCTCAAGTTTTGGCAACTCTGGGCCCTCCTCAACATTTTCAATCCCTATACAGTTATCAATCTTAAAGCTCCTGATCTGGAGAACACTAACAAAGACATGCCAAGTGTCTCCAACTTCCGACAGATATAGGCAATCCGTTCAAGACATTTATTCCTAACTTCGGAATTCACTTTCATATTGAGGCATGTGATTTTTGAGCACTTTTCACAGTCCATCGAGCTGCCCTTTCCCAAGCCTGTGCTCTCCATGTCTAGATTTTCGAGTAGATTACAATTTAGCACAAGTTGAAGCATGGTTGAGAGTGTTAACTTATCACACCCTCTTAACTTCAATGTTACTACACTAGATAAACACAATGACAAGTATTACATAATCACATCAGTGATGAACTCTATCTCTTCAAGTGCAACGAATTGAAGCGATGGATAGGCACACAATAAAGAGAAGAGCCCAGTCGGTGTGGCATCCATATTTTCAGAATAATCAAGTGAGAACCTCTTTAAAGGTAAGCACGCGTTTGCAAGAGAACCGAGGCCATCGTCCGAAACAACCGAGCTATGAAGATCGATAGCACTCAAAGCTCGGACGTACTTGCTTAGACCTTCAGCAATCATATTATTGTCTTCAAAATCAATAGCATATACTGAAACCGAGTTCATCTTTCCAACAATTGACGAAAAGAAAATGAACTGATGACAGGGCAATCAACGACTTCAACTCTTTCCAAATTCAAACAGTTCGAAGATAATGCTAGAATTGACCAATCAGTAATCAAATAATTCCCAGAGAGATTAACTATCCACAATTGACTCAAACTTAAGGATAAAGCCTTAATTTCATCATAAGTCACCGCAGGTGGTTCATTTAGCTTGTCAGTACCCTCAAACCTTGGCCAGCTCAAATTTAGTTCTTCTAGACCAGGGAAAGAACAAGAAATTATCTCTAAATGAAAATCCCCTTACACTTGGAGATTTTTGCACTTTAACACCTTCAAATTCTTAAAAACAAAACCAGAATCATTAACTCAGGGATGTGGGTCTGGTTTGAAATATCCAATATTTCAAGATTTAACGAGTGATTCTGGACTTCAGAGAATAATGTATTGATTTCACCACAGAAATGGCTCACATCAAGAGAAACAATGTTAGGGAGACGCTCAAACAGTTTAGGAAGAATACCGCTGATGATAGGATCAAGAAGTCTTTTCACAGTTTTTATAGAACTGTGAAAAGAGCTCAAAAATCACATGCCTCAATATGAAAATGAATTCCAAAGTTGGGAATAAATGTCTTGAATAGATTGCCTATATCTGCCGGAAGTTGGAGACACAAGTTGGAGACACTTGACATGTCTTCTTCCTCGGGTTTATCTAAAGAAGGCATTGCTAGTGTTCTCCAAATCTATTCCGAGATCAGAAGCTTAAAGATTGATGACTGTATAGGGATTGAAAGTATTGAGGAGGCACAGAGTTGCCAAAACTCGAGGTCCTAAGCGTAGCTAGGTCACGGTTAAACGACAACGGCCTTTCAGTGATGGGGACCAGGTGTTCCAGGCTCCTAAAATTGGTTCTTGATTGCTGTAATGGAGTCACAGGAGCGGTGTAGAGGAAGTGTCGAATAAGTGTAAAAAGTTGCGCGTAATCAAGTTGTGGAAGTGTACCCTTGTTGATGCCGGTGTAGTTGAACATATTGTATTCTCTTGCCTGTCACTAAGGAGAATAACATTTCCTAACTCCGAGCTTACTGAAAAACTAAAAAGGTTGTTCTTCGAGCTTGGGTATATAGTTCAAGGGGGACACTAGTTTTTTAGAGTTTGTTTCTTCATCTTTGTATACATTGTATAATTCTCTTTTTTGAGAAGTTGTAAGAATCATTTTTCTCATCAATATACAAGGCATATTTTTTCATCTCACCGATTTTAATTATGACATTGCCACCTCTTACATCTCCCTTCAGTTCATGAGCCATTTCTTTAGTCAATAGGATTTGATCATCAATGGATCTTCCCTTTTTTTTTCTTTGGGATTTAAGTTACAAATGTACTCCCATATGCTTGAGGTACTTTAATCCCTAGGAAGAATTCTTGTGATGCACTCAACATGTCATATTTAATGTCATCTTTATTAATAACTAAATGATCCAAAAAAAGGTAAATTTCAGTAATGGTACCCGAACTTTCACTGAAATTTCGAAGTGGTACCTAAACTTTAAATCCTTTCACAAAAATATCTGAACTTACATAATCTTTTCACTAAAAGTCCATTTACCTGTTTCCAGGTTAACTTCCGGTCATTTGGGCTAAATTAAAGTTTTATATATTTAAAAATTTTCAATTTGACCCCATTTCTTTTTTTTTCTTCTTCCCCTTCCACTCCCTTCTTTTTCTTCTTCTTTCACCCCCTCTCTTCTTCTTCTTCCTCACCCCACCCCACTCCCAGTCCCACCCCGCCAGCCCCCACTCTCTCCCTTCTTTTTTTCTTCTTCTTCCCTCTCCCACTCCCTTCTTTTTCTTCTACTTTCACCCCCTCTCTTCTTCTTCCCCTCTCACTGCATTATACGGAGTATTTAAAAAGTTGACCCAATACATGACAGAAAAGATAGCACCGTCCACCAGATTAAAACAAGAATCAGATTAAACATGCATAGGTATTACTGTACATTAGATGGAAAACAGGGCATGACATTCTTGGTAAAATCTCGATTTTCTTTAAGACTCGATTTTTCTTCAAGATTGATTAAGAATGAAGAGATTGGGCGATCAAGAAAATCATGAAATATGTGTAGAATGATCGAGAAATTGGGTAAAAATTAATGATGGAAATGGACTACTACTCACCGAGAAGCCTCTGGAATTGGGCGAGCAAGAACCCTAAATTCCGAGGCGGCAGCGAAGGTCGGGATGAGCTATGACGCGATGAAGGCGTTGGGGAGTGGGGTGAGAAGGAGGTACCACGATGACATTACGGTGGTCGTTGTCTTCATAGATCAAATTCATGGCGGCGCCGGCGTCTGGAGGGTTGTTTCCGTCAAGGGGTTCTCCCTGAGCGACGGCCCATCTGACCTCAACGACGTATTTCTGCTGGCGGGTGGCGCCCAAATTGTTGAGTCCATTGCAGACCTCGAGAGACTGTGAGAAGACGACGGCATCCAAATTCCTGGCGGAGGCGAAGACGTGTTCAAGATCGTCGATTCTGACGTCGGCGTTGAAGAGCTGGTCGGTGCATTCGTAGGTCAGGAAGCTCTGAGGGAGGAGCTTGAGGAAGCTTGAGAAGGGGTGGGAGAGGAATAAGAAAAAAAAAGAAATGAGGTCAAATTGAAAATTCTAAAATATGTAAAATTTTAATTTGGTTGAAATGATTGAAATTTAACCTAAAAACGGGTAAATGAACTTTTAGTGAACGAATTATGTAAGTTTAAGTATTTTTGTAAAAAAAATTAAAGTTTAGGTATCACTTCGAAATTCCAGTAAAAATTCAGGTATCATTACTAAAATTTATCCCAAAAAACAATCGTGAGTCATCAAACATTGTTAGACAATAAAGCAATAGCAAAACTCCCATATTGTGGAACATTGCTTCATGTAAAGCTACTCCAAATGATCATATTTACCAATGTAGATCAACCACAAGAATGACTTAGAGATCAACCACTTAACTTCCCATTTTAAATAGATTTAATAGAGGAAATGAAAAAGTTTTTCCAATCTCCAAGAACTTGTGAATAGTAGCATCAGACATATCATATACAACTGTAGAAGAGGATCTGTAATCTGCATAGTATACGAGCTACAACTCTTGTACTGCAACTTAGGAAATCCAAGTTTAGTAAATGCATGTTTGTTACAAGTCATCAGACATTGCTGGTTTTAGTTTCTAATTCTATACTCATATATTCTTTGTTTGAATCTTGAGCAAACTGACCTGAAATATGCAACAGTATCAAGCTGATCCAGTAAAAGCTCCACATTATAACAGGGATTCTCTGAGGGATCAAGAAGTCTGCCAAACTATACTTCATTAAATGATTGGGCACATACCAGAAGGAAAAAATTAGAAACCCTGCAGTTATATGTTCAAACACAAGCATCAACATGGGTGGGTACACATCCACACTTGATTTCGCTCAACTTTTTACACTTTTTTTGCCACTCCTCTACACCCCTTGGTGTGACTCCATTACAGCCCTCCCTCGAGGACGAATTTCAAGAACCCCGAACATCTGATCTCAATCACCGCAAGGCCGCTGTCATTCTAGCCTTCTAACCTAGCTGCACTTTCGATCCCTTTAGAATGATCAATCGAGGAACACGACACGTCAAGTTTCTCCTCCCAACTTCCGGCATACAAAGGCAATTCGTGCAAGGCATCATTGATCACTGACTTCAGAATTCATTCTCATCTTATTCACACACTTGATTTTTGAGCTTTTGTCCCAATCCAAGAGTCGCCCTTTTTCCAATCGAGAAATGCTAGAGTCATCGATCATAAAATACACAAACTTACCATTTGTGTATTTAAATGTTTACTTTTTAATTATTCAACATCATTTTATTCATTTAGTGAGGTACACAAATGACAAGGTTGTATATTTTGTGATTAAAGTGTTTGTGACTCTAGCATTTCTCTTCCCAATCTAGTGTTCTCCATATCAATTTTAGCAATATAGTTTTTAGTTTTCAATTACTTAGTACTTTTTTGAGTGGCTGTTTCTCTGTACTTATAAATGATTTTTAATTTACAAGTCAATTTAGATATGTTTCTCCGTGCTTATAAGCGGCTTATAAGTCAAGAAAAATAAATAGGTCTTACCTACTTATTTTAAAGGTTGGTTTTTTTTGTTTTGACTAGGTTATTTACAAAATTGTCACTTACCATCTATGAATATGACCAAATGAGTTATCTATCGTTTAAGTTATTTTACTTCCACGAAAAAATATTTAGCTTATAAGTTAAAAATTATTTATCGGTAATGAGTCAATGAGCACTAACATAGAGAAACACTTCATTAATTTCATAAAGTCAAACAATAAAGTTCTTTTTGGGACTTGAAATTCAAACTCGATCTTATTTAATTGAATGATTTTTTTAACATTTTATTTTCTGAATATTTTCTAATTTCTTCTCATTTTTTCTAATTCCTTTCAATTTCTTTCTACTTTCAATTTTAGAATTTCAACGGAAAACAACATTCCCTAAAATACTACCCGTACTCCGTATGTAGGGAGTTCAAATTGAATTAAAATGAACATTAAACAGATATCCATGGAATACAAATTTAAAATTAAAATTCAATACTTTAGGAAGATGCAACGTTTCCGAGGAACATCTTGCGGGAGAGTTTGACGGAGACTAGGGCGAGGACGGTGGCGGACGGCACGAACAAGACGTCGGGGACGGCTTTGATGAGCTTGAGCTGGGGAACGCTCTCTCCGGCTCTCTTCGCCGCCATGGCCGCCGGCGGCGTCACCAGTCCGGTGATCAGAGTGGTGTCGTCCATCTTGCTCAGCTTCACCCTCCTCTTCATGAAGTCCACGAACAGCGCCTTCTTCGCGGATTCGTCGTTCCCTTTCGATTTCCATTCCTCGAAACAAGCTTGGACCTCCTTCAATGGCGGCACGTCGTAGTGTTTCCCGGGCAATGCCCCATTCACGATGCTACATATACACATAAGAGTATGAATTACGAAAAAAAACAGGCCCGTGCTAAGCGGTTGGCATAAGATTGCTACAAGGAGAGATACTGAGTTCGAAGCCTTGTGGCTGCATGAGAGGCCCAAGTGATGAGATTATAATTTAATTTACATCTTCTATAGTTATATAAAAAATGTAAATAAAACTATAATCTCAAATGTCCGGTAGGAAATGAGATCTATATCATTGATTTAGGCAATAACGTTATGCAAAACATAAACGTCCCACATTGCCTTCTCCAGAAGTCAAATCCGGTCGCAACACTATTTTGTATCCTCTATTGACCATTTGAACTATGTCTCCGGGTAACAAAAAAAAGTGTACAAGTAAGAAGACACTGGTGGTAGTGAATGTGATTTTGTACTTGAAAATGTCGAGAATTGCAAGGTGAAAATCAGGAAAGGTCTTGATATCTTTGTCAGCAAATTGTTTGTATAGTGTCCCCATGGCAAAACTCATCATCTGTGTCGTGGGCAATCCTGCAGTGTGGTATTAAAGCTTGTTTATCAAATATCAATTTTACATTATAATTTCAGATAAAAAAGATTCGAAATTACTACATATTTTATGACAAAATATCATTTTATGATTATTGCTTGTTTTTCTTATATGAGACAAAAATAGGATAGTAATTCACATATGCTTCTTGAGTAATACTCCCTCCGTCCCATAAAACATTTCCTGTTTCAAAAAAAGCGCACTCTTAAAAATGAGTAATTTTGGTGTTATTTTCTAATTTTGCACTTACTTCTTAAAAGAGTAGGATGAGATGTGTAGAATAGATTAGTCATAATTAAAAAATACCACTAAAATTACTCATTTTAAAAGCGTGCCATTTTTGAAACAAGAAATATTTTATGGGACGGAAGGAGTATATAATATTGAGAAAATGATATTTGTACATCAATTTAGTTCTTAATTTCTCACATCACATAAAAAACATGGCACTAGCTATTTCTGGTCTCTACATGAGTTTTAGCAACCTTTTTTTTTTAACAATTTTGAAAAAAAGTCTCATCACCTTTTCCCATTAGGCTCATGACGAGACCCATAGTGGTGTTTGTCGCCGGCCGCCGGACAAAATATAAGAAGATAATGAGAATGGGCAGTTGTTTGTGATTTATGGGAAGGAATGTTTATATATATAACATGGTACATATAGAGTAAAGCTAAGCAACGAATCAATATGCTTTTGAATCCATTTGTTTCTTAAACTTTGGTTCATCTCATCCGACAACTAACAAACAACAACTCACACGTATTCCATTCCATCCTAACTTTACATGATTATTGAATTCATGGTTAAAGGAATATATACTACTAATATTGCACTAATTGTCTTGCCTAGTTGCCTTCTATAGTCTCACCCCCCTATTTATGTTGTTAACTCTAAAGTTAAAACGGTAAGAATCTCTTAACCCGAACAAAAAAATACTCCCTCCGTATATTTCCGGACGGAGGGAGTAATTCGTGTATATTTTGTGACACTTGTGGCGCTTCGTTGGTAAAATTGATGATTTATGTCGCTAACATTCTTCACCCCACCCCTACCTTCTCCTGCCCCCTGGATCACTACTTTGGGCAACCCAAAATTAAGTGATCTACGGGAGCTGGGGCTGGGGTCTGGTTCAAGCTTTTTTTAAAAGGGGTTAGGTAGTAGGATTTATCAATTACTATCAGAGCAGCGTAGGTGTTCCAACTCATTTTAAAGTCAAAAGAACCGTTGTGCTAAAAAAGAAGTTATTGTTACATAGTTTTTAAATATGCATAATAATTATGATATTATTATCTTTTAAACTAATGTAAACTTTATTAATTAAAAAAACATTATATTGTATATAGTATTTCAAACTATTTATTTCTTTTAGTTTACAAATTTTAAAAAAATTATTGTATGATAAATATTATCACACATGCATCTCAAAAAAAAACTATTACATAAATTATGTGTTGTTATTTAATGGTTCATTATATTTGAAATATGTAATTTTAATTTATTATAAATTAAAATACACCGTAGTTATTATTATAAATATTTTCAGACTATTAACTTTGTATAAACCTTTTCACATCGCCCGTGTACACTATGTCACGTGTCATGTCATTCTTAAGTATTGAATTTTAGATTGAACAACAAATATATGTTTTTTTTATTAATTTTTATCAATCCTTCACTTTCTTACATTAATAGCCAATATATTATTAATTTTTTATAAACCTCTTTACTTTCTAACATTAAATAACCATTACTTTTTTAATTAAATTTTTATAATCTATTCACTTTATGAATATTTTAAATATATCTATTTAAATATTATAACATTTGTTAGACATTCATAATTTTTTTATTATTTAATTTTTTAAAGTTTATTACTTAATGAAACAATATTGTATTAAATTTTAAAACAACTCACAACTTACTACTTCTCAAAAAAAGAGACTACTTCATACTATATAATTTTTATTATATGCATCTTTATTTACTGCATAATTTATTTCAAAATTTGCTTCATATTACATTTTCCCAACAAACTAATAAATAAAGATAAGTTGGTTTAATTGAATATTGACACATGACATATGTCACACATGCATTTTTAATGATATATCACTGTTTAATTATTCCATTTAAAGTTTTTTATTTTAATTATTTATTAATTTAAACAATTTTCATTATTGTATCATTCAATGTATAAAAAAATTTATTTTCTAAGTATTAGACCAATATGCATTTCACTTTTTTAAAATAGAGTATATATTTTACATGCACCTAATTAGTTTTAATTTATGTTTAAAAAAGTTATATAATTTATTTAACTTATTCATCATTTTCCTTTTAATATTTTTCAAACATAGAGATTTATAAAAGTTTTAATACTACATGTAGATCAATATTTAAATTAAACTTTTATTACAACATAGATATACTACATACTACGTATGTGATACTTAAAAAATATTCATAAAACACATATAATATCATTGTTAAGAAAATCAAACAAATCAAATTACATTTATATAATATTCAAAATTTAAAATATATACGAACCGATGTGAACCTAGTGTATTATTATAGAGAAATGAGATTTCACATAAACAAAAAAAATGAAATATTTTAGGGAGCATGTGAGAGGGAGTCTCATACACCAAACAAACAAGGCCTAGAAGTTTAGAATTTTGACTTTTGAGTACTCAGTAATTAAGCTCGGAAAAATAAAAAAAAGTTCGGAAGAATTTGAAGCTTTTCAGACATGGCGAAGCCGGTAATGGAGTCCCGCAGCAACAGAGCCGCCGTTCAGGCCACCAACGACGACGCATCCGCCAGCAAACTGTACTATCACCATCCATTAAGACGATTCATTTCCATTTCCATTTCACATATTTTTTTCGAGAATAACCGGAACAGAAAATCGTTGAATGAAAACAGTCTAGAAACTCAATGCATTCCTTGATTCGCTCTGGTTGAACGATTAATTTTTGTGAATGATTTCTTTGTTCGTTTATTCCGAATTAATTTTTGTCTCAATTGACATCCCTAAATTGAAGATCTTGCGTGAAGAAAGGATACATAAAAGATGATTATGTCCACCTGTTTGTTAGAAGGCCTGTCAGAAGATCTCCAATAATTAATCGTGGTACGGCTGTATTATTTTAATGCTCCCAGGCAACATTGTGAATTTGCTTGTAGAAGTTTTTAAATGTTCATGTATTTTGCAATTGCTTTTCTGGAAACTATTTTGAGTGATAAGGTTATTTTGCTCGGTGGGCTGTACTACGGAAGCTTCTGTATCAGTTTCTTGACTGTGAGCCAAATGCGGGCGAAAAAGAAAAAACTAAGAAACAAATAGTGTCGCTTGGAGCTGGATTTGACACAATGTATTTTCAGCTGAAGGTGCATAAGCTTTATTGTGAGCTATGTTTGATTTCATTTATAATTACTTATGTGGC